AGAGTGGATTCCTAAGTCTGGAACCCAGATGGGAGGATCTTACACTTGGAGAAAGAATTCACTTGAGGAGCTTGGCATTGAAAGTTCTGGTAAGTGCTCTAACTTGGCCTTACTTGGGACTGGCATTATTCTTTGTAGTTCACAAAGTTCCAGGCCAAAGCGCATTCTTGAGTACTTGGTGAGTGGTGGCTACTATGCTAAGAACCAAGGAATGAAAGGGTGGTAGGAGGTACTTCTGAGCAGGCCAGGGAGACTGGTGAAGTAAACATGAGATTTCAGTCAGTGCTTTGAAAAGATAAGAGTGTCTCATCTGGGAGCTCTGTCCACCAGTTGAGTTAGTGTCACTCAGAAGATAAAGATGATTGACAAAACCTTGTCCCCCAGGACTTGGAATAGCAAAGCCACAGACAACTCTTCCCCAGGGCTACCCTTTTAAACTTCCCCTCTGGGGCTTACAGCATGTGGTATGTTCAGGATTGAGAATGGAATACCTATGTCTAGTCGAGCAATGAGAGTCAGGTTTAGTTATATAGTGTTGTTTTCCAGTGAAAGTTTTGCTTCAAGCTTTATTCAGTACAGAGGAGAAATTAATCTTTTATCAGAGAAAAATGTGGTAGTGATAGTAAAGTCGTTTTGTATTCTGCTTTTATCCCACCACTGTAGGTATCGGGTTGGCTCTCCATGGATGACAAATCTATATAATCTGAGAGATGTCTCATCCTCTATTTTGTAAAAGGTGAAAAATGTAAAACTTCAGTTTGTCACCCTGGGAGATACATAGTTATTAAAATGTTTCTTCTACACTAGTGTTAGTCTGTTTGCAGCATAGTGTTAAGGTCACTGCTAAGTTACATTTGTTTCTCCTGAATTCACTACAAATATAAGGATTTATTTTTAGATATGTTTAAGGTGTGTGTGTGGCGAATGCCTTTAATCCCAGCACTCGGGAGGCAGAGGCAGGCGAATCTCTGTGAGTTCCAGGCCAGCCTGGTCTCCAGAGCGAGTGCCAGGATAGGCTCCAAAGCTACACAGAGAAACCCTGTCTCGAAAAACCAAAAAACAAACAAACAAGCAAACAAACAAGATCTCTGCCTTATTACCTTGAGATGGGCTCTCACTGAACCTGAAGCAATTTTAGCTAGACTGGAGGCCAGAAGTCCTAGCAATCTCTATGTCTCTGTCCCCTGCCCTAGCATAGGATTATTTACTTATCTATTTACCTTGCTTTTTGAAACAGGATCTCACTATATAGTCCAAGCAGTCCTTGAACTTACAATCCTCCTGCATCTATCTACTTCCCGAGTGATGGGATTACAGCTGTGTTTCACACACCTGGCTCTGTATAGAAGACTTTGAAATGGATGAAGTACACCATTCCCTTGCCCCCAAGCCCGTGAGATGGGCTGGTTCAGTCGGTTTCCACCCATACAATATGGAGGAAATAGCATCTTGACTCCAACATGAAATAAGGTTTTGTTGATATTCCTAGAAATAGCCTCCTACAGAAAATTAAAAAAAAAATGTGCTGAATGCAAGTTGACCTGATTCTTACTTAAAACCAGGTCTTGACTGGAGCAGAGATGGAAAGGAGAGCCTGCATGTTGTCTGCAGCTGAAGGTCTAGTCCCTGGAAGCCCTTCAGAAGGGACTTCTGAGTAGGGAAAGAAAAGGAAAGTCCTTGCTCCTGCTCCAGGTTGTCTTCGTCCATTGGAAAGCAATCTTCTATGCTTCTCTTGCAGGCTGGCTTCCATATGTTTCTTAACTTAGTAGGGAAAAGCTGAGATATTGGCTTTCCCTTGGGCTTCAAGCCTTTGTCTGCATGGCTGCTGCAGGAGCTGTCCTTTTCAGCACCCTAGACCAGTGTTCCATCTTTTACAGTAAACATTGAACACCTACTGTGTGTTGGCAGATAAGCTTCAGAGCCAAGCAACAGAGGATAAACATTAGGGAAGTAGTATAGTTAATTAATTCAAAGATTTAGTTGAAAAATAGGGTGATCCAAAAATTCATTCAGGAGGCATGGGGCTTTAAATCAGTGTAAGGGCTGGTAGGAAAACAAAATAAAAGGAACATTCCTTGCCTCCAAAGACCAAGTAGATGCATATTTTTCAAAGGAGTATCTAATCTCTCTTTAATGTTGGCATGTTTTCTCATTCATGTGGATGACATCAGGCAAAAGTTAGTAATTAGTCAAGGTTCATTTTTAGGACTCAGAAACATTGCAGTTATTTTAAGCAAGAAATGGATTCAGTACAGGAAATTGGGCGCTCACAGAACTGTTGGGAGGGCTTGGAGAAGAGGCTCTCATGGGGAGAGCTCTGGGCACGGCAGAGCCGAACCAGCAAGCAAGTTGGCACTGTTCTCACAGATGAGGGTCAGCATCTGGAGATGCTGATGCTGGAGATGGCAGCTTCAGGGATAGCTTCTTGTGTCTGTAGCCTGGAGAATAGACAGCCACTTCACTACGGAACATTCATTTACACAGCTACAGAGCTAGTGACTGGACACTGGCATGCTGCTGCAGACAGCCATTCTTGCCAGGAGAGGCAGCCAGAAGATGGTCTCCATCTCTCTCTGCTTTGCAAATCTTGTATGTCACTTAATTCACACTCCAGTACCTTTGCCATAAGGGATTCTGGGATTTGTAGTTTCTTAGCTCTCTAGCCTCTGATACTAAAAGGTGAGGTGCTAGAAGGATATTGGAATGGGTGCTGATTGCTAGTCTGCAACTTCTGCCATGTCATTTTTTCTTCAGGGGGACCACCCCCCACATACCCCAAGAGACAATAACTTTATTTCCTGGTATCATGGACTAAACACAGGGCTGTGAAAATACTAAGCATGTACTTTGTCACTGAGCTACACTGCATCTCCAAGGGGTTAGTTAGCCTTACGGAACTTTGAGGGTCAAGATGGGTTCTGCATCTTGTGTACGTAAAGACAGTCCACATGACTTTTCCTGAGTTTTCTTTGTGCATATTGACAGCTGCTTCTCAAAATACAAGAAGAAGAGGAGATTAGAGGTATTATGGTTCAGTAAGAACAAAAATTTGAGCCCCATCAGCATCTAAATAAACAGTGGGGTGTGATGAGACTGGCCCTGTAAGGAAGGACAGCTGTCCAGTTTGCTCTTGCCAAAATCTAGAAATACATCTTTGTTTTCCTAGGTTTTGTTTTTTTTTTTGTTTGTTTTTGGTGGAGTGTGGGTATTCTCTCTTCCAGAAACCCTGCCTACCACTTTCCCACCCCCTTTAAAGAGATATAAATTTGTTTATGCCCTACTTAAGTAAATTCCTTTTATTGGTCACCTACTAAATATTTGTCACGGTGAGCACAGTGGTGGCAGATAGAGTCGCTGTCCTGTGGCTGCCATAGTGTCACGGGTGATAGGCAGTGAATGAGTAACTAAATAGTGATTATTTTGGTGAGTTTACTGCAAAGGTGTTTGATGGGAGCTTGCCCTCATTTGGTCTTGAGGTTAGGAGATTGTCAATGAAATGGGTGTTTAAGTTCAGATGTTAGGGATGAGTCTGAATCAGTCAGAAGAGAGAAGAGAACATGATCAGTTAATTCTTAACATTCTAGCTCACCTGGGATTTATAATCACTGGGTGTCACTATTACCTATTTTTTGTGAACAGCACTGAAGGCTCAGATTCTATATTTTGGGATCAGAATGAATAGTTGAGGTGACTTGAGACACCGAGATCCGCTGGAGTGAGATGTTTCCTGTGAGGCTCCCTCTTTTCCCGTACTTCTCAGGAACCAACCAGATCCTGGTAGAACCAAGTCCTGGAAGTCTTTCACATTGACTAGTTCTTTCTATATGGCATACTTCTGAGGCTCAGCAGGCTGAGATCATTGCAGGGTCCTCCTTCATGGTTCTTCCTTTTGAGACAGGGTCTCCTTTTAGACCAGGCTAACCTCAAACTTGCTACAGAGCTTAGGTTGACCTTGAACTTTCCACTACACCATTTTTTTTTGTTTTTATTTTGCTCTTTCTGAGTTGCTTCTAGAGTAACTTTAAGTCCTTCAAAATTGCTCGAAAGCTTCTTACCACCTGGTTACCCCCTACAAGGCTTGAGTTTTATCTCTTAGTACAACTGTCCAGCCGCTGTGGACTCCCTAACGTCCTTCAGGCATCAGGTACCCTGATGTTACAGTACCATATGCCATGTTACTGCTCATGTCCTTCTCTCTGCCTGGATTGTCCCTTACCCCATTCCTTTCATTGTCTGATGAGATTCCCCCCTCTACTTACTCTCCCACAAGGGCTCTTTTCTTTTTTCTTTTATTTTCTTTTCTACCTTTTTTAAAAAAGATTTTATTTATTTATTATGTATATAACATTCTTCTTCCATAGATATCTGCACACCAGAAGAGGGCACCAGATCTCATAACGGATGGTTGTGAGCCACCATGTGGTTGCTGGGAATTGAACTCAGGACCTCTGGAAGAGCAGTTGGTGCTCTTAACCTCTGAGCCATCTCTCCAGACCAAAGGGCTCTTTTCATATGACCCTTTCCGGCTCACCCCCCCACCCCTCCTACTGCAGGAATTAGTGCCCTTCTTTATCCACTGATGATATTTCTACAGAAGCTGTTTACAAACCAAACTGTAGCTGCTATGTGACTGCCTAGCCCTGGGTTGTGTGCCTCTCACCACCAAGAACAAATTAACCTAAGCAATTTTCAAAAAAGGTTGCCCCAGTATCCCCTTGAGTTAAAAAAGGGTGGTCTTGGTACAAGATTCTCCTGATTCTCCAAGTAGAATTTACTTTACAGTAAATACCTATTGAATGCCTGCTGTGTGCTAGTCACCAGGAATAATGCACATGAAGTTAACTACAGTCTCCACTGCTTATGGAGTTTACAGTGGGGAGACAGGGAGGCCCCACTTTCCTACCGTGGATGTGTTTGCCCATCCAATGGAAGTGCGGTTAGTTACACGGTGTTCAAAGAGTATGGCTGACTTTCTGTTTTCTTCTTTCTCAGTGTTAGAGATTGATTTTGCGGAGCTAACCCTGGAGGAGATCATCGGCATTGGGGGCTTTGGGAAAGTTTATCGTGCTTTCTGGGTAGGCGATGAGGTCGCCGTGAAAGCAGCTCGCCATGACCCCGATGAGGACATCAGCCAGACCATAGAGAATGTTCGCCAAGAAGCCAAGCTCTTTGCTATGCTGAAGCACCCGAACATCATCGCCCTCAGAGGGGTGTGCTTGAAGGAACCCAACCTCTGCTTGGTCATGGAATTTGCTCGTGGAGGGCCTTTGAACAGAGTGTTATCTGGGAAGAGGATTCCCCCAGACATCCTAGTGAACTGGGCTGTACAGATTGCCAGAGGGATGAACTACCTACATGATGAGGCAATCGTCCCCATCATCCACCGAGACCTTAAGTCCAGCAACAGTGAGTATGGAGAGCTGGGCTGGGCCGAGTGTGAAGAGCAGCCACCCCCTCACTCTGGCTTCAGTAAATGTGGATTCCTGGTGGCCCCTTTGTATCAGAGTGCTCTGCCATTGAGTGTCGATGTGGGGGAGGGGAGGAGCTATCTGAAGTGTCTGGGAGTAATTGTGAACTGACAACTAGCAGGCAGTGTTTAAGACTGATAGATGCAGAAACAGACTCATTTTCCTACTTGAGAAATGTGTATATAATCCCCCAAAAGAGGATATCCCCTTTCTGGAGCAGCAGAGAAGGCAAACCTATACAGCCAGTCTGCATGTCTACCTCCACATTTCAGCTCACTGGAGAGGGAGCCATCGGAAGAAGAGGTGTGTGTTTAACTGGGACCAGTACAGGTGGCCGTGTCAACTGGAGAGCATGACCTGACTGGTAGTGTTTTAGACCTCCTGTTAGCCCAGGGGTGCTGCTAATGAATTCCATGACTAGTGTGTAATTGCAGGGAGCTGGGAAGTAACTGTGTATTAAATACATGGAATCTATAAACTGGGCTATAAAGTCAGTGTTAGGTATAATTAAATGATAAGGTGGTAGAGACTTCAGTCTTGCACATGGGCTGGGAGAACAGCTAGGAATAAGCTTCCTGGTGCTCTCACTTGTCCGGACTGACTGCATGAGTGGATACATGTGATTAATGGTATGTATTTAAGATTCTTTTGAGTAGCCTATACCTGAGAGAACGGTGTTTTACGTGGAGAACTTTGCGGGTGACATGGGACTACTCTTGCATCTGTGTGCTTGGAGTCCAGAAGTTCTTCAAACTTGGTGTTTGGTTTCTTTTTCTTCTTTCTCTGCCTCTCTCTGTGTGTGTGTCTCTCTTCCTCTCTCTGTCTCTGTCTCTCACTCTCTCTCCCTCTCCCCCCTCTCTCTTTGCATATATGTGTATTTGTGTGTGTGTGTGTGTGTGTGTGTGTGTGTGTTGCCTCAACTGTCTTGGAACTTGCTCTATTGACCAGGTTGGCCTTGAACTCACAGCCAGATTTTATTTTCTTCTGAGCTGTTCCTAACATGGTTTATTTCTTTATTTCTCTGTGGGTGCTTTTGTAAGAAGGGATGTTTCTTTTTCTTTTTTTTTGTTCTTTTTTATTTACATTTATTTATTTATTTATTTATTTATTTATTTATTTATTTTTGAGACAGAGTTACACTGTATAGCCCTGGAACTTGCTCTGTAGATCAGGCTGGCCTCAAACTCAGAGACTTGCCTGCCTTTGCCTCCTGAGTGGTGAGGAGAACCCAGCTGAGAACAAGTGTTCATTTGTCTTATCCTACCAGACATTTAAGAAGTGTAAGTGTGTGTGTTTGTGTGTGTGTAGAGATTATACTTTGCAATTTCTCCCTCCCTCCCTCCTTTTCTCCCTCCCTCCTTCCCTCTCTCTCTCCTTTCCTTCTTTCTTTATTGAGACAGAGTTTCTCTATGTAACCTGCTTTGACTGTCCTGGAACTAGTTCTGTAGACCAGGCTGGCTGTGAGCTCACAGAGATCCACCTGCCTCTGCCTCCTGAGTGCTGGGATTAAAGGTGTGCTCCACCACTGCCTGGCTGCAATTTCTTTAAAAATGACCTGTGTTTCCTTTGTCCCTCTGTCTGTACTCTCTGCCCCTTTAGTAATAGAAAACTTCCTCGGTGAGAATATGAACAATTAGATATATACTTTATTGGCAAGTGTGAAAGATTTGAGATACATGAGAGAAAATCTTACCTATCCTTTTCTCTTTGCTGTGATTTTATGGTTTCCTTAACCCTTCTCCAAAACTACGTTCTTTAATTATATTAACTGAATTAAAACTTTTAGCATCTGAATGTCAGCCCAGAGGCTATTTGGGTGGTGGAATAAGATGCAGATGCATTGGTAGAAAATGAGAGGTAGAAGTTGAGTTCTCTTTAACTTTTTCTAATGTCCTTACTATTCTGAGAGAGCTAGGCAGGGTGAAATAATGTTACATAATTTGGCCCATTGAGAAATCTGGGCCAGGATAATGGAAGTGTAAAAGTTTACAATTTTCTTGATCAAATTTAAACTTTGACCATAATCTGAAGCTGCACCTACAAAGTTTTACCTTCCACAAGATTGCTGTTGTGAAAACAAAACTCTTGTGAAGGAGACGTTGCCTTGCCAAGTTGTGCTGTTTATAGAATAAGGCAGGAGACTGCATGTCTCTTTTCCAGGAGCCAGGGCTCTGGTTCCCTCTGTCTTTGAAAGTGGAAAGCTTTCAGGGAAGGACTTTGTCAAGACATACTATGCTACCAACAGCCCTGTTGGTGCCGATGTTGGTATGGGTTGTAGATCTTACATGTGAGTGCTAGTTTGTGGGTGAGTGTTTGCCTGGGAGTGTGTATGCCAGTACGAGCCTCACTGCAGTCATTTCAGAAATAGTATGCCACCACTTTGCTCATCACTCCCATTTTGGGAATTGTGACTTCTTCTGTTTTGTCTTTATTAGGGGTTATGGAAAGTTGGATTTTTGGTCACTATCACATGAGGGCAGAATACCAGAAAGTATATGTTAACTGAGTTTGAACTAGTCAAGAAAAGAATATGGCTATCTATGTAAAAAAGAGAAAGTAGTGGTAGATGGCAAGCTGCTATGGAGTCTTAGTAAAAAGTGGCTGATTAAACTGTTTTATTATCTTGGTCACCTTCTTCAGTCATTTGCTGTTTGCTGGCAAATGGGGTGGAATAACCTTTGTTAGCATGTAATGTCGAGTTGACTCTGTGTACCTAAAAGTAAACAGAGTGACAGCAACTGAGAGATACTCTCATATACCTTTGGAAAGAAGTCTGAGGATTTCAGGGCAGCTGCACGGTGTATTTCTTATGCTATCATCCCAGTACCTGGCTTCCATCCTCACTATCTCCTTCTGGTCCATGGAGGGTACCAATTATTTGATCCAGGTACAGGCCTAAAGGAGGAGGAAAAGCAGAAGCACAAAATACCTGCTTCCCTCAGCTGAATCCATGCCCAGTAGCTTCCCAGAGACTTGGTTTAAACCCATGTTCTTGTATTAATTGCCAGAATGTGCTAGCTGGGGAAGGGGCCTAGAACTAACTAGAAAGGGGGGTCCACTAATAATGAAGGTCTGTCACAATGGATGGGCACAGGTCACAGAAGAAGCAGCCAGCAGTCTGGCTATGGAGGCTTCATACAGGGAAAACCCCTTATCTCAGTTGTTTAGTATCAGCCAAGGAAGTCAGCCAGGCCCTGAGATGGAAGACCTCTTTTGAAACTAATGGCTTGTACTGCATTACAGTATTACATCAGTGATTTGAACATCACATCTTAAAAGTACTGGGGAAAAGCAACTGCCTATAAAAATGGATTTGTGTTGGCCTACTTCTTCAAACTGGGGAGGACCAGTTACTTGTTACTAGGGGCACTGGAGAAGATGATCTGTTAAAGAAAATCTTGTCTTTAGGGGGTGGTGGATGGATGTCAGGATTTTGTGTGGTGGGTGGTTTGGTATGAAGGCATTCAGCAACATCACAGTTGAATAGTTCCATTAAAAGCTACAAGGTATGGCTGGTGAGATGGCCTAGCAGGTAGTGGCACCTGCTGAAAAATTTGATAGCTGAGTTCAGTTCCTGGGACTCACATAGTGAAAGGAGAGAACTGACTCCCAGAAGTTGTATACACACACACACAGAGAGAGAGAGAGAGAGAGAGAGAGAGAGAGAGAGAGAGAGAGAGAGAGAGGGAGGGAGGGAGAGGAGGGGAGAGAGGAAAGAGAGAGAGTGAATAAAGTTAAAGTACATGTAATAAGAAAGTTATTATTTTTTAAAATTACGAGATTGGTGATCTAGCACCAGTAGGTTGCTCACCCAGCATACACAGGCTTTGAGTTCAAGCCCCAGTCCTGTTCAAAACAAAAGTAAAATGAGCCAGGTAGTGGTACACACTTTTAATCTCAGAACTCCAGAGGCAGAGGCAGGTGGATCTCTGTGAGTTTGAGGCCAGCCCAGTCTACAGAGTGAGTTCCAGGACAGCCAGGGCTACACAAAGAATCCCTGACTGGAAGAATACCAAGATGGAGGTGGGGTGGAGTAGAGGCAGATTTCCTGTAGGTGAATAAATAAGAAATCACAAACTATCTCAGCATGGATTTGGAATTCGGCAAGGGGAATCCCAAAGATGCAGGAACTCATCTTCCTTGAGAGGTAGGCAAGTGCCTTTGCATATGCCTCAAAAATGCACTCTCATGCGGTCAGGATAGCTGAGTTCCACCTTGTAGAGGTAGGAGAGAACTGACTCAGTACACTTTTCCTTTGCCCTCTCTATGCATATGTGGTGTGCACACATGTGCGCACGCGCGCGCACACACACACACACACACACACACACACACAAACACCATACACATACAAATGCATAATAATAATAATAATAATAATAATAATAATAATAATAATAAAGTAGAACCTTAATAAAAAAAAAACCCAAAGAGCACATCCCCACTGAGAGCCCCCTCCCCCCATACCTAACTCATATGCTTCTGGATCTTTCCCCATTCTCTTCTTTGGGTTCATTGCTGGACTGTAGACCTCTCTTTTAAAGAGTTAGAAAATACTGGATTTTTCTGATTTTATTGGGAAAAGAATACAGATAGTATAAACCTTGGACTTATCTTTTGGTCACTGGAGGCTGTATCTAAGTCTAGCTAGTAGCTACCAGGCATGTCCCAGAGCCTTGTGTTCAGTTGATGGGAAGTACTTTCTACAGCCAAAATACATATGTAATCGAATAAAGTCAGTGAAGTAAACAGCAAGCCAGCAGAAGATGACTCTGCAGAAGAAGACAGTGTGGCCAGTGGCGGGACTTGTGGGGATGCTGACTTTCTCTTTCCCAGGTCCTTTCTGGGTCTCTCCTACACAGAGCTTGCCTGCTTACCTACTTACCAGTCCACCTAGCCTCCCTTCCTGTCCCCTCCTCTTTTGCTTTGGTGGCACTT